CTCCCTCTCTGGATGCTCGGATGAGCCCCGACAATATTTCAACCGTGTCCAAATAGGGCGTCCAGAAGGTCGAGAGGCTGCCGTTTCCAACCTCTGATGAACACGCGGTAGACTTCAAACAGTTCCACGACGCGTGTACACGAGCTGTTCTCGAGGACCTCCTTCAAAGCGGCTTGCGAGACTTCTTTCCCAAGGTTGTCAACGGTCCTCAGCGTCTCATCCAGGTGAACCATGCGGTTCATGTGAGTTGCTTCCAACCAGGACAGGAAACCATTCCATGTCAGTCGCACGAGAGCCTCATACAGGAGCTTGTGTAGTCGCACTGCCCTGTTGTGCTTGCGGCCATCCATAACACCAGAAACAATGGAGCCTTCTGCGATCATGCCAGACTCAATGCAGAGATCTCGGAGTCGAGCATTTTGGAAACGCTTTCCTAATTATTGCCAGCAGTGTGCAGATGGTGTGGAATACCCCAAGCCTGACGACGATATCATGGAGCCTGTCACGGTGTTTCCATGTGATCTCGACATCCGTCGCATGCACGGCTTGGTTCAAAGAGGCGGACAATCTTTGTCAGGCTTAAGTACCACACGACGCTCGGTGACCGGTTAAGCACCTCGTTGACGGTAGACACTTGTGTCGCTGGAGCACTGATGGCGGGCAGAGAGCCTGCATTGTCGGGGATGACCGTCGTCTCACCTCGAGTCAGGATGTAGAAGCCTGTCCAGCTGCTGATTGGCTGGTCTTCCTGTTGTGACGTGCGTGCTAGGACCCGAACAAGTTTCTTCTCCCTGGCAAGCTGAGTATTGGCTGCGGTATCGCCATCTGCACTGTTGCTTTGTGGTGGCCTCCACCCGTTGTCCAGCGTTGTAAGTTGGTACCATTGGCGGGGGTGCATTAATGCTTCTCAGCTTTGTTTTTGGCAACAGAGGGCAATGGGCTGGAGAGGACCTGGGCTGACTCGCTTTGCTTGCACAGCAATCCCTCACCGCTGACAGTGACGGTTTCTTCAAGACGATCGATATTGTCCCAGGCTAAAGTTGTGAATATACCAGGATGGATGTTAGCTGGTAGGGCAATGTCACTCCCTGATGATGAGAGGTTCTGAAGACGCAGGGCAGTGTCGATCTCTTCCATCCGTGAATAGGACACACTGTGACCAAGTCGGTTGAGGATGTTTATCAGCTCTACATTCCCTGACAATGACTTGACACTGAATGGCAGAACAATGTGTTTGGAAGGCTTGGTCGTTGCACATGTCACTGCATAAACTATGTCATGGACAAATGATTGCAGAAGCCGCTGAACACTATGGGATGCATGATCAGGATCATGAGCGCCTGTGAGTAGATAGTTCAGGAAGACAATGAGCGACTCTGGAATGGTAGGACATTCTGCTTCTGGTTTGACTTCAGGCGGCCAGGCTTGAGGAACATCTTGACTCCTGATGTCCTCTTTCAATTTGACGGCTGCTTTGGCTATAACATCTTCATCACCGACACTTTTCAGGGTCTGCAGCTCCCTTTTTAGAGACTGATTTTCTTTGGTAAGTTCCCTCATGGACAGGTTAGCTGGATAGAGGAGGAGTTTTCCTTTCCCATCAGGGAAGATGTGCAAGGCTCCAGCAAACGCCCTCTCCAGCTTTCGCCTTATGTGGTTCTTCGTTGATTCCTTGACTTGGACAATGCCTAGGGAGTCCATTGAAGCAACCAGGCTAGAAGTCAGATCAGTCTAGAACCAGTCAAGAAGTGCCAATGATTACCACTAACAAAGTTATTGGTAATAATTGTGTGCATGTTATGAAAGTTTACAATTTATGGAAGCAAAATATCAAAAAGATCAACATTGACAAACTGAACAAAAATCATTACTTTTGCCTGTAGTACCTGGCCTTAACTAATAATCTTAACAGGTACATTCACTTTTCGATTTAAAGCTTTCATGACTGCAACGATTCATCTTCTTTGGTTCTTTTGGTAAAGTCACCACGTAGAATGAGAATAAAATAATAAATGAATAAAATAAAATAACACAATAAAATTCTCACGACGTTTCGGCCACAACACAAGCGGCCTTCATCAGGTGAAGGGACGAGACTGTCTGGAGGACAGCGCTGGAGCGAACAGAGCCAAGCTCAGACCGCGACCTTTAAGCTGTGTGAAAAGAAACAAAGCGCCTTGACAAGTGAATTAGCATAAAAAATTAGCATTTAATTGGCGGACTTAGCATGCTGAAGGACGCTTGTGTTGTGGCCGAAACGTCGTGAGAATTTCATTGTTATTTTATTTTATTCATTTATTATTTTATTCTCATTCTACATGACTTTACCGAAAGAACCAAAGAAGGTACATTAACAGTACATTGAGGGTAAAGTTGGCACTTTAGATATATTTTATGAACAGAAATAATACACAACCACTAGTACTTGCCTCACCTGCCAGTAAATGATCATGAGCAAACAAGCCGCTGGAAACAGAAGGAAAACAGATAGCGCCAATCTATTCCAGACTTAACCAAGTCACTGAAATTGAAGAACAAGCGTGAATAGATGCAAGAATGTGTATGAAATACATCCGTTGGGGACAAACATCCATTTCGTAAGTTATTACTTATCTTAATTAACAGCAGAGGTGTTGGAATGTTTTATTTGCAACGTTCGGGCAAATAGGCGTGAATGCGATAGGTGCGAAAGCAGTTTTCCTGGGAGAAAAATTAAACAGCTGCTCATTTGGAAAGGTTATCGTGTATTATTTTACTTCTGTTGGTGTAACAAATACAATGGCACCAATGAAGTTTGGCCAACTTGGGTGGTACCGATATCTGGTCTGGCCCAAGGGGCTCTAAAATGTGTCGACTACAGGCACCGTTAACGAAACGTCGTTCGTGGAACGAGGCTCGGTGGAAGGAATAGAAGTGAAGTGAATTTGTCACGTGACTGTATGGCTACCAAGGGTCACACTGGACATCTGTGAAAAAAAGAGCTTTGTAGCTCATCGGATTCCTCCAGTATGAAGACAACTATTCTGAAAGCTAAAGAGGCAGTCTTGAAATCACTTACCTGGGCCACTGCTGGTGGAAAGGCCTCCACGAGAGGGGGCTCTAGAAAGCCTCTCCCCCCAGAGTATATGTTGCACTATTTCACCAGGTAAGGCCCCACTAAGCTACATAGCTCTTCTTTCGGAAGTGGAACCTGGCTATCATGAATGATCGCCCAACGAAGTGGCTGATATCATCAACGTCGTGTGGAAATTTAGAGCAGTAGCCAAAAAAACTCGAAACGTGTGATGTTGATTCTTAAATGTGGAGGGAAAAACCCGGAGGACCCAGAGAAAAATCCATGCCACCACGGGGGAGGGAGATGAAAACTCCAAATATACAGGAGGCGTCAGGGTCAGGATCGAACCCACAACTTCCTGTATACCAGGCGATGTAGTCAACATCTCCTAGCCACCATGGAGCCCCAAAAAGAAAGCCCTTCACCCGTGAAAAAATATTTCGCCTTCTCTTCTATGCTGGTCGGATGCCTTAAAAAAAAAAACCACATCGGAGATAGCCACTGTTTGTCCCACCACGCGCGACCTCCTTTGACACTTCTGGGTGGATAAAGGCCAGAGAAGGGGTACGGGGGAGATGCAAAACAAAAGACTTGCACCGTAACCAGGCACGGTGGTGACTGAGAATATCGGCACGCCCTGCTACCCCCGACCCCTTTTCAACGCAATAGCCAGGGAGAGCTTCCTTCCTCAGTACTGCTGCGATGTTTAGCTGGCGATTACAACAACAACAACAACCAGCAGCTTCATCAGAGGATTTGCCAGAATTGTGAAGAAGTCTTCCTGTTTCCGATCTTAAATAGTGAAGGTAATTTCACCACTGTAGATGACGAATAGAGCAAGCTGATGACATCACCGATGATGACGAATAGAGCAAGGTGATGTTATCACTGATGATGAATACATAAGGTGATGTCATCACTGATGATGACGAATAGAGCAGGGTGATGTCATGACCGATGATGAATACATAAGGTGATGTTATCACTGATGATGATTATGGTAAGGTGATATAATCACCGATGATGATGATGATGAATATTGAGCAAGGAGATGACAATCGCTGATGATGATAATTAATCAAGTAATGCAACTAAGAATTGTAATCTTCTACGAATGTTTTTCGGAGTTGATAACTCGCGGCCATTTTTTTTGTTAAATGGCGACCATGGCCATATCAGGCATCCCCGGCCTGGTAGTGAGGGAGCCTGGCAAAGCGATCTGCTCTGGAAGTGGCAGCGATCTAATGCAAGTGAATACATCTTGCTTGGCCCGTGATTAAATAATTATGATATGTATCGTGATGCTATTTATAAATTAATAAAACAAAGTTAAAATAAGCCAACCGTAACTTAAATGAACCATTGATGAATGTTTGTAATCTTAATGAATAGGACCGATTAATTTGGTCTCCTTGACTAAACACCCCCCCCCACGGCAATCATGCACATTCCTCTGCGTGGCTGTTAATGGACAATACCTTTCTTGAATTGGGCAAGGGTTGTTACAAAAACTTGACACGATGGGAGGGAATTACAAAGCGGAGCGGTGCCAGGGAAGAAGCAGACAGAGCAGTTGGGTTCATAAATTATAAAAAATATATATTTTAGTTATCTTTCCAGTACAGGCCCAATGAGCTATACAGTAGCTCTTATTCAGAAGCGACATGGCTATCCGAAACGATAGCTCAACGAATTCCTGTCAACATCATCACGTGGAATTTCATAGCAGCAAAATATTCTAAACGCGTCATGTTGATTCTTCATGCGGAAGGGAAAAGAGGACGACTTGGATGAAAATCCACGTGACCACGGGGAGAGAGATGTTGCAAACTCTAAATAAACAGCAGGCGTCTGGGTCCCGATCGAACCCACGACCTCCCGTCCTGTATACGGGCAGGGTAATTAACATATCCTAGCCACCGTGATTTGTGCAGTGCAATAACGACTGGACCACAACTACCCCCCACGCACCATTCATCATCATCACGATCCATATGGCAGATATCCCCATAGTCGTAGGTGGTGGTTTGGTTCCACTTTCCTCTCCCAATCTTGTCGTGCCAATATGCTAAAGTAGTGGCCACATCTTTCTGGCACCAATCTCGTTATGAGGTCATCGTCAAGCCATTCTCCATTAGGTCTTCCCTCTCTCTCCGGTTCCATCCATTAGAACTTCTCAAAGACGTTCTCCAGGTCTGGGTAACTTTCCCTGAGGTCCCACAGCGCCTCCCAGAACTGCTTGACCCTGGGTGGTCCCCTCGCCATCACCAGCTCCACCATGTGCTGTGTCGCCTTCTCGCTGCCTTGCCGAGCTTGCATCTCCTTCACGGCCTGCGAGTGGACACACGAGCGCAAAGACGTGAAGTTCAGAGCGGAACGACGTTTCTGTAGCGATGGCGGTTCTTCAGAGCCGCTTGCCTGCAACACTCCAGAAGCACTCTGTGTTTCCGTTGTAAAGCAGCAGCGTTTATGACAAAGTGTGACTCTTGTAAAGATGATCCAACATGACCAACACTTCCAGGTAAAGTTGTATTCCTATTCGGGACTTACCCCTATCGAACACTGGCCAAACTCATCGAAGGGTTTTCTTAAAACTCGGGAGACAAACCCAGCAATAAAAGTATTCACCTCAGCGTCCACTCCATCTCTTCCCCCCACCCACCCAGCCCCCCCGGCCGACTCTCTTTGTCTTCCCAATGCAATGCCTCATCACTCCCCCCCCAGTTCCAACCAAACCTACCCCAGCCCCCTCCTCGACACTCACGCCTGTTCTGTTCTGTCACTCAAATAGCACCAACATTTTTAAAAACCACATTCCTCATCTCAGACCACTATCATCTTACGCACAATTGTATCATCGCTGTGAAGCACGTAAGAAAAAACGTTCTGTAAATTTTGTTAAGATAAGGCCACAGAGTTCTTGATGAATGTTCAGGTTTTGTTTTATTGTAATTACATACTTCCGAGGACAATCACGAGTTGTTTTAGCTACGTTATTTATAAGGACAATAGGGAGAAGCCTTTACGTATAGATAGTAAGACATGTAACACGATTTTTGTTTCTGGTTACTAAGTGTTATTTTCTAATTGCTTATGCCTCAACAGTATAGAAAATTGCTATTATTATTATTATTGTTCCCCTCAAACTTTGCTTTTGTGACCAGGACTTTACGTGAAGGAATGACACAAATGCACGCCACGTTTTCTCATTGAAAAGAGGTAAATGTCAAAACATCATTGTCCTGGTCACAAAAGCAAAGTTTGTGGGTAATAGATAGCCATTTTCTGTACTTTTGAGGCATAAGCAATAAGGAAATAACACTTACTACCCAGGAACAATGTTTTTGTTACTGTGTAATCAGTAAGACATGATTCACACTCTATCGTAATCTCCATGTCCTTTTAAATTCAACATTTTCCCCAAACCACATCCCGTAATTTTGCTCAATAATTTTTTAACGTACAGGAATCCCTTGCCACCCACTGATTTGCTAACCGCAAGATGAATGTACACAGGGTTTTATGATTTCTATAGCGATTTACCAACCGCGGCCTGGACATTTGAGTGTCCGCGGTTAAGCACGGTGTTAAGGAAGTCGAGTGACGTAGGTATTGCGTCATTGCATCACATTGTAACGCGCGGCTTCATCGTTACCAATGTCGCGGGGTTTCCCGTCACAACTGCCTTGTCAATGCTTAATTCGAGAGACATTTTCTACAGCCATAATACCGCAGTACATAAAGTTCGTTTGTGAATGTTGTCGCAAGCTCTTTGCACGAGTCGTTATTTTGATGTGCACGTCATCAGCATACAGGGATACTCTTGACCCATTGGCTCCTAAATGTCACGCGGTAGCACTCGGTATATATTAAACAAAGAAAGGTCCCTGGACAGATCCCTCCAGGACACATACAAAAGTGACACGTTCCTCTATTTTAGCATCTTGACAAAAAAACGATGTTTTTTCATTGGTAAGATAATCACACAGCCAAACAAGTGGCGATCCAGATCCTCAAATACGCTGGTGCAATGTGTCATTAATAATGCTCATTTTTTTAAATACTGAATGCAATTGAAAGACGCTCTGCATGGCTTAACCATAAACCCGAAGCGTGGTAGCGCGTGGTGGAGGTGACAGAGAGTTGTGTCTTCAGCACGGACGAGTTAGAGGGTGGATCGAGTCCCCTCCACCTTCTAACAAACCCTTCCCCCCCCCCATTATCTCATTGCCATCGATCATGATCACCGTCGTTAACATTAAAGCTGTGTCAAGTTTACGTAATGCGTGGTTACGTTTTTGTTGTGTTGTGTAATATACTGGATCTTATTCGGTGTTTCGATAATAAACAGGCAACTGAGTCAGACCATGGCGAGTAGTTCCCCCTAACTCCCTCTTTCCCATAGGCCCCCGGTATTTGTAACCAACCACGGATTTGCCAACCGCGGCCTTTTCCGGGAATCTAATCCCCGCGGTAGGCGAGGGATAGCTGTACATTCACACTGTCCATTACATACACTTACACGTGCTGCTTTTGGCTCTTTCAATTGCATTCAGTATAACAAATGAGCATTATTAATGACACATTGCACCAGCGTATTTGAGGATCTGGATCGCCACTTGTTTGGCTGTGTGATTATCTTACCAATGAAAAACATCGTTTTCTTGTCAAGATGCTAAAATAGAGGAACATGTCACTTTTTTATGTGTCCTGCAGGGATCTGTCCAGGGACCTTTTTTGTTGAATATATAAGGAGTGCTACCGCGTGACATTTAGAAGCCAATGGGTCAAGAGTATCCCTGTATGCTGATGACGTGCACATCAAAATAACGACTCATGCAATGAGCTTGCAGCAACATTCACAAACGAACTTTATGTACTGCGGTATTATGGCTGTAGAAAATGTCTCTTAAATTAAGCATTGAGAAGGCAGTTGTGTCACCAGTTGGCATAAAACCACATCTCTATCATGAGTATCATGAAAAAAAAGATACTAAGCATATCTTTAAAATACTATTATGTTAAATTTCGATTTAAAGCTTTCGTGACTGCAATGATTCATCTTCTTTGGTTCTTTCGGTGAAGTCACAGGTAGAATGAGAATAAAATAATAAATTGATAAAATAAAATAACACAATATATTCTCACGACGTTTCGGCCACAACACAAGCGGCCTTCATCAGGTGAAGGGGCTGAGACTGTCTGGTAGGACAGCGCTGGAGTGAAAGAGCCACGTTCAGATCACGGCCTTTTAAGCTGTGTGAGAGGAACAAAGAGCCTTGACAAAGGAATTAGCATATAATTTAGCATTGAAATGGCTGAATGATTAGCTTGTGACTGGTCACAGAAATAGCTATGTTAAAAGTTAAAGCATACACATCCGCAGAGGCACCCATTGTTAAATGGAATTAGCATAGAATTTAGCATTGAAATAGCTAAGTTAAGGCATACACATCCGCAGAGGCACCCCTTGACAATGGAATTAGCATAGAATTTAGCATTGAAATAGCTGAGTGATTCGCTTGTAACTGCTCACAGAAATAGCTACGTTGAAAGTCAGAGCATACACATTCACCGAGGCACTTAGTACAAATCAAACAGGAGAATTTAGCATTGAAATAACTAGGCGAATTTAGCATTGAAATAACTGAGTGATTTAGCTAGTGACTGGTCACAGAAGACTATGTTGAAGTCAAGGCCTACACATCTGAGCTATTCACAGTACTATATAGTGAACCAATAAAAACTAAAATATAAATTACCTTCATGTTATCAATAAACTCTATATTCTCCAATCAGCTAAGCTACCAACAATAAGTCGTTATATATCACAATGCTATATGGCGAAAAAATGGGTGGATTCTTACCCTCAACTTTCGCACCACGGATAGCTACGGGCCCCGTTCAGACGGACGAGTTCGTCCATGGTCGGAACAGAGGAGGGGGAGAGAGACAGCTGCGAGGCCCTAGTATACTCCATGTTGTAAACCATACCATTAACCGTGGTGTGAGAGGTATTAAGAGGCAATGCTGGCGAAAGAGCTGCGGTCTGAAGGTCATCGTAAAAATACAATTAATTAAGAACAGAAATGATTTAAAACATCTTTCCAGTGGTTACTAAGCCTGAATCCATCTTCTCGATTGAAATTGTCTCTGTGCTTGTATATGTGAATGGCCTCATGAACGAATCTCTCATGGTAGCCGGTTGGTTTGCAAAGAACCTCCGTCTTGGAGAAGTCAATGTCATGTGAGCCCACTGAATTAGTAACAGTGATCTGCCACGGCAGAGGAGTTCGTCCTACCGTGTTTCAAGTCTGCTTTATGTTCGCGGATGCGGTCCGAGATATGTCTTTTGGTTTCTCCAATGTAGCTACTACCACAGAGGCACTTTAATTTGTAAACGCCCGGGTACTGTATGTCTGGAAGAGCATCTTTTACAGATGGAACTAAATCACGGATTTTTGTGTACTGTGTTGAATCGGACCTGGATCTGGTGTTTATTCAGGATTTTGGAGATCTTTTTAGTGACCCCTGCAATGTAGGGTAAGGTGATGGTTTTGAGTGGCTCCACAAGAGGATCCTTCTTCATGACTGGAGTGATGGCTTTGCGGATTGTGTAGTTGGAGTAGCCATTAGCCCTGAGAGCCTGGTGTACGTGCTTGAGTTCACTGGTAATGTGTTCCTGGTCGGAAATGCATTGGGCTCTATGGTATAGAGTCTTGATGAGGGAGTTCTTCTGGGATGGATGGTGGTGGGAATCCGGTTTCAAGTAAGCATCTGTATGGGTAGCTTTCCTGTAGACAGAGTGGCTCATTGAACCATCATGTCTCCTTTTAATTAAGACATCCAAAAAGGGTAGTTTGCCATCTTTTTCGACCTCCATGGTAAATCTGATGGCTGGGTGTATGGAATTGATGTGGTCGCGGAATTGGTCTAGAGCAGGCTGACCATGTGGCCAGATGACAAAGGTGTCATCAACGTACCTCTTCCATAAGGTCGGGCGTAGAGTGGCAGTCTGGATGGCGTCAGTTTCAAATTTTTCCATGAATACGTTGGCTACAACCGGAGATAGGGGGGAGCCCATTGGGGTGCCCTCAGTTTGTTTGTAGAAAGTTCCATTCCAGGTGAAGTATGTGTTGGTTAAGCAATGTCTCACCAGGGGGGGTACATCAGTATGCAGTCCTTGATGAACCAGGTCTTCAATGATAGCGATGGTGTCAGGTACCGGGACTTTGGTGAACAAGGACACCACATCAAAACTGACAAGCAGGTCGTTTGGGGACAGGGAAATGTCCTTTGATTGTCGATACCAGGTGAGTAGAATTTAGTACCGCAGAGGTGTTTTTTCCAGTGAAAGGTCGCAGTATATCAGCAAGAAAACGTGCCAGTTTGTAGGTGGGGGAGCTGATAGTAGAGACGATGGGACGAAGGGGTGTATCTTCTTTGTGTATCTTTGGAAGGCCATATAATCTTGGTGGTCTGGCAGCAGAGGGTTTCAACGAGAACTGTTTGATCTCATCAATTAATGCTGTTGAATCAGAGATGAATTTTGTTCGTTTTGGTGACCAGGCTGTTGGTGGGATCTCTTTTTATTTTTGTATAGCTGCCATCGTTGAGTAGTTCTTGAATTTTGTTGTTATATTCTGTTTTGTCCATGATGACAGTGGCATTGCCTTTGTCGGCTGAGAGGAACGACAATATCATCCCTCTTTTTTAATTGAGATAATTCAAAACGTTCGTCTTTGCTGATGTTGCTGGGTGGCAACTTAGCGTTTTTGAGGGTTGCAGCGATTTCAGATCTTGCTACGTCTGCAGAGATGTGACTCAAGTCCCTTGAGTGCAACGTCGACATGGGCAATGATATCATTAACCGGTAAGTGTCTCGGTGTGACAGCAAAGTTTAGACCTTTAGCTAAAACGGATTTCAGACCATCAGAAATGGAACTGTTACTGCGATTAATTACGACTTTGTTGATGTCTATCTTTTCAGGTGTGTGGATCCGATTTTTTGCTGGAGAGGTGATTGAATTTGGAAATCAAATTGTCCCTACATTTGTTCGACATAGTGGCAGCCGAAGAGGTAGTCATATTGTCTACATGTTCCCAATCCGATGTAGACATTGTTGCTGTCAATTTTAAGTGTGATTTGTAGAGTGTCTTGTCTAACTGATCGAGTTCGGTGCGTGTAAGTCTGATTTTTTCCGAGATAAGAGCGAAGCTAGTTCTAGCTAGAATTCGTTTTGCATTGAGAGAAGTTGCAACAGCAGAGGTTAGTGTAAATGCGGTTGGTATTACCTTAGAGTCGCGGCATCTCTTCAGAAAGGTGAGAGACTCGATTAGTTGAGCCTTCTTATCCCGAAGTCTGTTGAATGATCTTAAGGATGTGTGGAATTTGAAACTGACGCCATCCAGACTGCCACTCTACGCCCGACCTTATGGAAGAGGTACGTTGATGACACCTTTGTCATCTGGCCACATGGCCAGCCTGCTCTAGACCAATTCCGCGACCACATCAATTCCATACACCCAGCCATCAGATTTACCATGGAGGTCGAAAAAGATGGCAAACTACCCTTTTTGGATGTCTTAATTAAAAGGAGACATGATGGTTCAATGAGCCACTCTGTCTACAGGAAAGCTACCCATACAGATGCTTACTTGAAACCAGATTCCCACCACCATCCATCCCAGAAGAACTCCCTCATCAAGACTCTATACCATAGAGCCCAATGCATTTCCGACCAGGAACACATTACCAGTGAACTCAAGCACGTACACCAGGCTCTCAGGGCTAATGGCTACTCCGACTACACAATCCGCAAAGCCATCACTCCAGTCATGAAGAAGGATCCTCTTGTGGAGCCACTCAAAACCATCACCTTACCCTACATTGCAGGGGTCACTAAAAAGATCTCCAAAATCCTGAATAAACACAAGATCCAGGTCCGATTCAACACAGTACACTAAAATCCGTGATTTAGTTCCATCTGTAAAAGATGCTGCTTCCAGACATACAGTACCCGGGCGTTTACAAACTAAAGTGCCTCTGTGGTAGTAGCTACATTGGAGAAACCAAAAGACATATCTCGGACCGCATCCGCGAACATAAAGCAGACTTGAAACACGGTAGGACGAACTCCTCTGCCGTGGCAGATCACTGTTACTAATTCAGTGGGCTCACATGACATTGACTTCTCCAAGACGGAGGTTCTTTGCAAACCAACCGGCTACCATGAGAGATTCGTTCATGAGGCCATTCACATATACAAGCACAGAGACAATTTCAACCGAGAAGATGGATTCAGGCTTAGTAACCACTGGAAAGATGTGTTAAATCATTTCTGTTCTTAATTAATTGTATTTTTACGATGACCTTCAGACCGCAGCTCTTTCGCCAGCATTGCCTCTTAATACCTCTCACACCACGGTTAATGGTATGGTTTACAACATGGAGTATACTAGGGCCTCGCAGCTGTCTCTCTCCCCTCCTCTGTTCCGACCATGGACGAACTCGTCCGTCTGAACGGGGCCCGTAGCTATCCGTGGTGCGGAAATTTGAGGGTAAGAATCCACCCATTTTTTCGCCATATAGCATTGTGATATATAACGACTTATTGTTGGTAGCTTAGCTGATTGGAGAATATAGAGTTTATTGATAACATTAAGGTAATTTATATTTTAGTTTTATTGGTTCACTATATAGTACTGTGAATAGCTCAGATGTGTAGGCCTTGACTTCAACATAGTCATTCTGTGACCAGTCACTAGCTAATCACTCAGTTATTTCAATGCTAAATTCGCCTAGTTATTTCAATGCTAAATTCTCCTGTTTGATTTGTACTAAGTGCCTCGGTGAATGTGTATGCTCTGACTTAACGTAGCTATTTCTGTGAGCAGTTACAAGCTAATCACTCAGCTATTTCAATGCTAAATTCTATGCTAATTCCATTGTCAAGGGGTGCCTCTGCGGATGTGTATGCCTTAACTTAGCTATTTCAATGCTAAATTCTATGCTAATTCCATTGTACAATGGGTGCCTCTGCGGATGTGTATGCTTTAACTTTTAACATAACTATTTCTGTGACCAGTCACAAGCTAATAATTCAGCCATTTCAATGCTAAATTATATGCTAATTCCTTTGTCAAGGCTCTTTGTTCCTCTCACACAGCTTAAAAGCCGTGATCTGAACGTGGCTCTCTCACTCCAGCGCTGTCCTACCAGACAGTCTCGCCCCTTCACCTGATGAAGGCCGCTTGTGTTGTGGCCGAAACGTCGTGAGAATATTATTGTGTTATTTTATTTTATCAATTTATTATTTTATTCTCATTCTACGTGGTGACTTTACCGAAAGAACCAAAGAAGATGAATCATTGCAGTCACGAAAGCTTTAAATCGAAATGTACTATTATGTTACTATACAGTCCGATGTAAACAGGGGTAATGGGCGTCTTAGAAACGTCATCATTATAAGATCACGTGTGCCACTGCCAATGTGTGCTATGACCTATGTTTAATGCTCTGTGCAATTGCGCTTCTTACATCTGTTCGTGCTCTCGGCACTTATTTCAGCTTGTCCAACCCTAGCGTCGGCATGGACCTCATTGTGACTGCTCACTGTCAAGCAATCCCGCGGCAGACTCAAGATGCAAATGTTCTATGCAGCCTAGAAAGTAGGTCCGTCGTGATAGCCTTTGTGTCAAAAGGACTGGCCAAACACCAAACGTCCTTATTCATGAGGCTACGCGTGATTGTGATGACGATGATCTTAGTTGGACATTACCCGCACGCTGTTGTCGGTGAGGATGTTCCTGATCTGCAGATGGGAGAGCAGAGGCGTCAGGTCGTCGCGCAGCGCCACGAGGAGCTCCCTCGTCTTGAAGCGGATTTTGTCTCGGAGGACAAAGTCGCTGTACTTGTTCAGAACCAGGGGGGACTTGTTGGAGAGTCTCCGGAGGAAGTCTGCGGCACCACAGAAGGGGGGGGAAACGCAGCGGCAATTGGCGCCGTTTCAGCCTTAAAAGGTGGATGAGAGCAGGTTGGAGTGCTTTTGGAAAATTTGAACAAAATAATGAATGGTAACTACATCATTAGACCTCCTTTGCCAGTACCAAAATATAAGAATAGGGGTTTTCCCCTTTTTTTTCTCGCAACAAAACTGAAACCTTTTTTAACGAGGAATCACGTGGTGCATTAACCACAATACTTGTGGCGTCCTCTGGTCTAGCCCCAATTGAGACGAGGCTCAAAAGAAAGCTGTCTATGGTTGTGGACCAATCAGTTTCAAGGACAATGCATCACATATTGTCAGTGTGTTTTTTGTTTGCATTTTTACCACAAGTATTGTGGTTAATGCACCACGTGATTCCGTGTAAATAAAGGGTTCAGTTATGTTGCCAGAAATAAAATGTGAAATCCCCCTTATTCTTAATGAAATGTACCGTAACCAATGTGCCTGAAGAATAAAGTTTTAATCGGCCCGCATTACCTGCTATGACGTACGGATCAGACACGTGGACACTGACAATTAAAAGGAACAGCACTGCAAGAGCATGAAATAGTACACGGTTTCAAGTTACGTAGAAAAACAGAACGACAGTGCATGGGTTATAGGACATTGCTTTGTTAATTAATTGCACCTGGGCAGGACATGTCACCAGAAGGAATGATGGCCAGTTAATACGACAAATGTGTAAATTTCGATTTGAAGCTTTCGTGACTGCAAGGATTCATTTCTGTGACCAGTCACAAGCTAATCACTCAGTTATTAAAATGCTAAATGCTCTTGTTTGATTTGTACTAGGTGCCTCTGTGAATGTGTATGCTTTGACTTTAACATAGCCATTTCTGTGACCAGCCACAAGCTAATCACTCAGCTATTTCAATGCTAAATTCTATGCTAATTCCTTTGTCAAGGCGCTTTGTTTCTTCTCACACAGCTTAAAGGTCGCGATTTGAGCTTGGCTGTGTTCGCTCCAGCGCTGTCCTCCAGACGGTCTCGTCCCTTCACCTGATGAAGGCCGCTTGTGTTGTGGCAAAAACGGCGTGAGAATTTTATTGTGTTATTTTATTATTTTATTCTCATTCTACGTGACTTTACCGAAAGAACCAAAGAATATAAATTAATTGTTTTGTTACCAAGGCCTCCCAGCCACTCCTTGACTCCAGGATAATGATCCTGCACGGCCTGCAGAGCAAACAGCAGCTTGAGGCAGTCGTCATTCCCTCTCTCTATGAAGAAGTTGAGCAGCAGCTCCGTGCACTCCGCACCATCCCGGATGCCCTTGGCTTCAGTGAAGAGCTCGTTCAGGATTTGTCCCCGGCTCATCAGCTGCAGCAGAAGATGCTTGGGCTCTCTGGCGATCCAGAGCTTCAGATCCGACTCCTTATCTCGAATGGCCCTCAACGCCTCGCCTGCGATCGACAGAGGCTCATATGAATTTCAAACGAATCGTTTAACACATATTTTAATTGAGTTTATATCCTATTCAGCTACAATTGTGCTTCTGGAATCAAGGCACAACGTATAACATACTTAGGTTCATATTGGTACTTAAACAGTCAAGTGTGACGTGAAGTCGTTCAGTCACGCACAGCATGACATCATTCATGTGCGGCTTTAAACGTAGCGTCGTAGTCTCCGATCACTTCCCCGAGGACGAACTCGTGTTGGAAAGCATTATGGAAGCCACGCATATGCATGGTTCTTCTTCCTCGACTCTCACAAAATGGCATTCGATATCAATACACCGGTGCGTTCACGTGGGTCGTACCGTGTGTCTGAATCCACTTCCACAGCTGCACGTATTGCTTCCTCACAGAGTAGAGGGCGTCCCACAGCGCCTCACAGCGCGCCTCTCCCTGGCTGATGAAGTGGTCCAGAACGAGCTCCACACTCTCCTCTCCGCCCTTGATGATGGCCGCTTGGTGAACTCGTCGTGGAATCAATTTGAAGCCGTTGAGATGCGCCAGGAAGGCCGATGGATCCGCTCCGATCCAGGACTTGAGATTCTCTTTGTTCTCTTGGATCTGTTGCATTGTCTCGCTGCTCTCATTGCTCCTCTGTAGCGTGTGGAGAAGACACGGTCACGATTATTTCTGTCTATCTTCAGTGTACTAGTGCATGCCTACACACGGAAACAATGTAGAGTAGGGTCATCATGCCACCATGTTGCGTTGAGTTTACCTGAACTCCATGTGTCACCTTGTGATCATTTCGCATGATATGAACAAGCGGTAGATTTTCATCATGCTCGTTATTTGTATGAGTAGTGTCTGAAAGAAATCAGATAATTAATCACTGATTCATAGCACAGTCGATGCGGTTCTATTGTTCGACACAGAAAACTAAACATGGCGATCTTGGAGTCAGGGACAACCTTTAAATGTTTCCTATAATTTTAAGATTGGAAAAACCTTAACTGGAATGTAAAGTTGCATAACTTCATAGCCAAGATGAAGATGTCATCACCTGCGGCTAAAGACCATGAACAGACAGTTTTGCGGTCGTTTTTGAATCAGTCCAAATCCTACCTCGATGGCCCTCGGGACCTCGACAATTGTCAACTTCCTCCCTTTGTCACAAGAGCGGCAAGCACAGAACGAAGTAACGACGACGCTTCAATTGAGCGTCCTGTCCAACACGACTTTACTCGGGTGTGAAATATTGTCGGATGAGTGGAGGCACGGCAGAGGTGACTGTCACCAGTAGCAACACTCTCCAAGGGACTATTTCAAATGAGACCGAAGCCAAAGCTCTCAAAAGGGATGTAACTCATTTTCATCATTCTGTGCAGTGGTGTCTGCAGAGAGCATTCAGAGGCGGCTTCGTGCCGAGACGAGATTTCTCCGCGCATTTTATTTAATGTATAATGAGAGTAAAATATGTATTTTGGTCGATGCATAATTTTATCCACAATACCAAGATTTTATCTTTAGATTAATCACGGAACATGACCACTTACCGGGACGCTTCAACATCTTCTTAAAAGTCGACCCCTTCAGTTTCATCTTTAAGTAAACTATGTACAACAGGAGTCCAGTCAGGACTAAGCCGAGGATCGTTGCCAACACGACTGACGTGGCGTCTGAAATTTTATGAAGGAGACAAAAGCACAAGCTGTCAACAACAGTCCCCTCTACGCCTACTTTTCAGGTCTATTCGATGCATTGAAATGCACGGGAATCCAGTACGTTGCATTAACACAACCTGGATCAAAATCAAACCATTAAATCGGTGCTCTTTGCATCATTTCTATCATTTTTTATCACGAAAAATATCGTGAAGGCGCTTTTTCAAAGATGATCATTTGCAGCAGTTTCACGTTTTTTTGATCATTCGCCTTTCCCCAAGAACGACGTCTATCATTCACCATAAAAGCAGATGGCGCATTTAATTGTGTTGAATGCACCAGTAGAATTAACTAGCGTATCCGTTGGGCTTGAACCACAAACCTCTGAAATGAGAAGTAAATACGCTTTCTTAGCCAGTGTGCAGATTTAGATGCAAGGGGACTCCAGCCTAAAACTTCTGTGTAGGGACAATACAGATTTGGTGTTCAGTATTGCACAGGGTAGTGAGCTGATAACATCACACGTGGCTGTGCTTGACCATGCATGCAGTCTTCTTTGGTTATTTCGGTAAAGTCACGTAGAATGAGAATAAACTAATAAATTGATAAAATAACACGATAAAATTCTCACGATTTTTCGGCCACAACACAAGCGGCCTTCATCAGGTGAAGGGACAAGAATGTCTGGAGGACAGCGCTGGAGCGAACAAAGCCACGTCCCTTCACCTGATTAAGGCCACTTGTGTTGTGGCCGAAACGTCGTGAGAATTTTATTGTTTTATATATTTTATTCTCATTCTACGTGACTTTACCGAAAGAACCAAAGAAGATGAATCCTTGCAGTCACGAAAGCTTTAAATCATGCCACGCAGTCCCTGAAGCCTGCAATAGACATGAGGTTGAGTTTTAATTCGTGCTTCTACTGCGGACAGCTTGTGCCGTTTCAGTTGCCAGGCTGTCCCCTTGCCCCCACTGTCAGCTGAGAAACAAAACAGCTTATTGTGGTTGACTTAAGCGGCTTTGTAAGCCGACTACTACCTGAGCGTGGCTCCTCTGGCAGGCAAAATCCCGAATCGTCGTCTCTCTTGAGCCCCTCCGTGCACCGACACACGGTGTCCTGGGCCACGGAGCAGTTCACAACCACCTCCTCGCCTGCAATGAGAAAGTTGATCAGTTTCAACGCAGATGGTTGACTACGTACGGTGTGAAAAAAGTTCAACATGCATTTTGCAATCTTGATTTGAAGCTTTCGTGACTGCAGGAATCCATACTCTTTGGTTCTTTCACGGAAAGTCCAGTAGGTAGAAATAAAATCAATCGCGACGTTTAGATCGCCACACAAGTAATCGTCTTCAGGTGGGAGAGGGCCTTAACTGGTTGTTGATGTTTCCATTCTACCTGCCATTGTCAGCAGTTACTTCCGACTCTTTGAGTTACATTACCAATTTACATTACCAAGTTAAATGTCTTTGCATTAACGGGCTAAATGTCTCACTAACAAAACCAAGGTTGTCCCTTTTCCCTTGATGTGACAGTGGCTCTCGTTTTTTTAGAAGACTATAACTGGCTGTGATGTTGTTGTGTGTCTCTCCCTATGGGTGTGTCCTTCTGTGTGTCTCTGTGTGTCTCTGTGTCTCTCTCTGCGTGTCTCTCTCTCTCTCTAGGTGTGTCTCTCTCTATACGTGTCTCACTGTGTGTGTGTGTGTGTGTTTCTCCTATTACCATCATTAGGGGCAAAAACGGTGATCCAATCTCCGAGCCCCAGGAACAGGTTTGCAGATTTGCTGAGCAGAAGGTTGGAGGGAAAGGGCTCGAGAGGGATACAATGAGGGAGCACAAGGGGGGGGGGGTGGGTACGCGAGATAGAAGCCGGGCCTTGAGTTGTTTCGGTGTCGTTTCACGAGTTGCACAGCCATTTCGTCCCTTTTCGGGGTTATTTGGCTCCACGCGTCTCCACACTGGTCGAAGCGTCTTGATGCAGGAAAGGCCCATAGACGTTGGTGCATAGTACACTACAACAATGGTTGTCGCCGCAGTGCCTGTAATGTGGTGCCGCGCCAGGCTATAGAATCTGTTTTGTTTTCATTACGTAGGCTTTCATGAAGAAGATTAATTGGATTTGGGGTAGTTTATGGACGTAGATTTTAGACAACTATAACCCTCCAACACCCAAGCAATGAAATAAAATCAAGTTGTAACGTAGGCAAATGTGCCGATTGATTTGGGAGGTTTTTTTTTGCAGAAAATTTGGGGAATGTTGAATAGAAAGCAAGATTTTTTTTTATAATTTATATGCACGATGATTACCAATCAGAGCACTGTCCAGGCTCAACCCTGTCTCGCTTCTGAGAACTCTGGAGATTTGGTCCAATTCTGAGTTATTGTCATGGGCAGGACATTATTACTGAACCCATAATAATAATAATATATAGGATGGACAAAAACAGGAACATTAAAAGTGTTAAATTTCAATTTAAAGCTTTCGTGACTGCAGTAATTCATATTCTCAGCTCTTTCGGTAAAGTCACGTTGAAGGGAAACAATAAAATAATAATAATATATATAAAACAACAAAAATTCTCACGACATTTCGACCATAACACCTGATGACGACCGTTTGTGTTATGGTCGAAACGTGGCAGAACATGCTTGTCAACAAGGACACTCAATTGATTTTGACAATGTTGCAGTGGTGTGTAAAACTAATTATCACTGGCAAAGACTAATTAGAGAATCCATTGAAATTGAGAGGAACAAGAATAACTTTAATCGCTCTGACAGCTACAGGCTTAGTGCGGCCTGGAAGCGTATTATTAAATAATACACATTACATTTTGATTTAAAGAATTACTAATCTACAACTCATTACTAATCATAACCAATGACTGATTACTAATCGATTATATAATTACAATACCCACCCTTCGCCTCTAATCACTGCACCTGATATGAGTTAAGTGATGACGTCACCCTGCTACTCTATATAAAAACGGGAGCAAGCGAGGGCTTTACCATTCTGGCGAATTGCCCGATGATGCTGGATGTATTTACCAGCGAAACGTCGTACTCAAACTGTAAATGTTGTGGATTCACTCTTCAACACACCGGTGGGCTAAAGTAGTGAACTATTTGTCTTTTTGTCAACGTGACACCTTTTTTTGCTGATTGGCCGTGTCGGGTGGTGGAGGGTTACGACACATTTATAAATAAACGCGTTCTAACCCAAAAACCTTTATTATGAATAATATTGGTCGCGAAAGCCTACGTGTTAAACTGACTAACCTCTATGGGGAGGATACTTTTCTTAAAACCAGAAAATTGGAGAAGCTCCGCATTAAGCGGATGAAATTGATATCTTCACTGGCGTTCCTCAAAAGGTGCAGAGATTCAAAAGTAATACCAAACGCAGTTAAAATAACACATCACATAAAGTCTTCTAAAGCTAACCAAATACTACACAAAGCTAGCGAATTATTATTAATAGAGAGAATACAGCACAATGGGAGTGAATTATCTTACATTTCGGAATCGCTAAAGCAGTTACACTTAGATATAAGCAATAGTGTAACTATGCATTATTGGAATATAATCGATAACATAACACAACAATCGGCTGATAATGTGTTTAAACTAACAAAAACTAACCAAATTAATAAATTTTCTAGACTACATAATAAACAAATCCCTACTGAAAACCAAAAATTTAAAAACAAAACCGTACTGAACTTGACTAACACTGTATTAACCGGTGACATGGTCTCTATCCTTTCTAAAGGCCTTAATTTTGCCATTACCCCACGCACAATTCCAGTGGATGAGATAATTGCTAAGGTAGAATCAGCAGTTAGACTCCATCCACATAATGAGGCAGAGATGACTAGACATGAGGTTGCTAAAATAATTGAGAATAGCAAAGTTCCAAAAGTAAATATTAGCTCTAACGAGGCAAAAGCCTTAAGAGAGCTGCGTGTAAACAAGGATATCCAAATCGGCTCGTGATATCACGAGCCGATTATGACAATAAAATTAGACATTTACTAGAGGAAAGTACCTACATTAAAATTAAACGAGATACAACTAATACTTTAGAACGTAAGACCACTGCAATAATTGCAAATTCATTAATCCTTAAAAATGAGCAATACCAAATTAAGCCAAGGGCCTCAAAACCACCTAGACTCTATGGGTTACCAAAGATTCATAAAATCGGCATCCCATTACGACCCATAGTCAGTACAATTGGCTCTGCCACATCAATTAGCTAAATATATAACCAAACAAATACAGCCCTACATCGGTAGGACATCTTCATTCATAAAAAATTCAGAACATCTTGTGAATGTGATTAAAGATATTAAACTTACTCCTGATGATATTCTGGTAAATTTTGATGTGATTTCTCTATTCACTAAGGTTCCAGTGGACAAATCGCTTAAATTACTTGATACACTAGTAAAGAATACCGGTTTACCAAAAGATATTCCGAAACTTGCTGGCCATTGTTTAAATAACACTTATTTCTTATGGAGAGGGGATTTCTTTAAACAAAAGGAAGGAGCAGCAATGGGTTCTCCTTTATTCCCTGCTATAGCAAATTTGTACATGGAAAACTTTGAAATAAGAGCACTTGCCTCAAGCACATTAAAACCATCCTTTTGGTTTAGATATGTGGATGACACTTTGGTTGTCTGGCCACATGGTAAAGATACACTTAATGATTTTCTGAATCATCTCAATGCACAAAACCTGGCCATCCAGTTCACCATGGAAATGGAGGTGAATAACACACTCCCATTCCTAGATATTTTGCTTGGACATGGCCTAAACGGTAAAATAACACACAGCGTTTACAGAAAGCAAACGCACACTGATGCCTATTGAATGCAGAATCACATCATCATCCAGCTCAGAAATCCTCTCTTATCAAGACGCTCATACATCCGGCTAAAACAGTGTCAGATGGTGA